CCCCAAAACCCCAAAACCCCAAAACCCCAAAACCCCATACGGCATGAATTTAAACAATGGAAAGTATTCGGGGGTTTAATCATTAAATAAAGACTTTAATCATCTATTATTATTATTAAATAAGTAGGAGCCATAAGTCAGATATGGTAATGAAAGATTCTTTTAACTTTTTCTTTAGGGCCCCAAGCAACAAAAGGGAAAAGATGCCAAGGGTGGCAAAGGTGACAAGGGAGGTAAATCCTCTGCTGCAGCCGTTAACAAGAAATCAGGTGGTAAAGCCAAGAAGAAGTCATGGACCAAGGTAAAGGTAAAGGAAAAGCTTAACAATGCTGTCTTCGTCGACTAAAAACTATACGATAGAATCGTGAAGGAGGCACCCAAATTCTTGAATCTCACTGTTTCCATTGTCAGCGATAAATTCAAGGTCAATGGAGCTGTTGCTAGAAAAGTGCTCAGGGATCTTCACTCGAAGAATCTCATCAAACAATGTGGTGACCATCACAGTTCCTTCACTCTCTACACTGGAACACAAGCCAAGCAAACTCAAGAAGCTGCCCCAGCCAAGAAATGAACTATTTAGGCGCTTTGAGTTTCAATAAAATTTCAAAGATTATAATATCTTAGCTCTAATCTCTCTTTTCTTTTGTTTGCTCTCTCTCTATATTTAATATAATTATCAAGAGTCGATAAATCCATTTATATCTTAAATCTCTAATTAAACAATCACACACATACATATATTTAAGACATTAAATTTATATCAATCATCTATTAATCATTCAACACAAGAATGCAATTGCTATGAAATATTTTGATGAGTTATTGCTGCTATTAGATAGTAAACTACTTCATTGCTTAAGGATTCATTATATACCTTCCTCTTTCTATAGAAATAATTAATAAGGGCATAGAGAATAATTAATAATACCTTGAAAATATTGTAAGCTTCAGTTATTGCTGCAAAGCATCTATTGGCAATGTAAACTTTATCCGGTTCATTCTCGCAGTTTCTCAATTTATCTGGATGGCAGAGCATCGTTGCTTTCCTGTAATATTTTTTAACTTCTTATGGGTCTAATAGTTTATCCATTCCTACTCTCTACCAGCCATTATTAGGCCATAGAACATCTTGAAGTGTGCATAAAAGAACTCTTATATGATTCTTCATTGGTCCCTTCCCAACCCAGTTGTTGATTCTATCCTCATGCTTTGCATAAGCTGCATGCCATTCTTCCTTTTATTGCGCTTACTTCTTAAAAATGTCTTTAACATCATCAATCTTTGAATTTGTTTATGTTTACTGTTAGAATCCAGCTGCAAGAGAAGGATCAAGAGTAAAAGAAGATTGACTTTAAGTAGTGCTATGTGATGGGGCTGGATCAGAAAAATTCAAGTCAAACAAATCATTGCCAAACATGCTTGGCTACTGATTTTATTGAGTCTATTACTTTTATTGATGTACATTCGGACTTGTATTAAAAATATCAAATCCATCAGAATTCTGTTTTTCTGAGGGTCCATTAGTATAAGGGTTCGAGTTATTTGGTTCGAACAAGTTTTATTGGTTTTGCTGTTGATAGCTATCGTCATCATCCTCAGTGAAAAGTAAATTTGTAGTTTATTACTTATGATTTGCATTATCCTAGACCTTTTGATAATTTATTGTATCCCAAGCATTTGGTTAAGTATCTTCTACTTCCTCGTCCTCATTGTGATCTATTATCAAATTCTATTACTGATGCTATTATTATTGCTGATTTAACTTTTGGTGTGTGAGTATATCTTCATTTACGTTATATATGTCTTACTACTATTGCTGATGAGATTGGTAATCAAATATGTCTTATTATTGTTAGTTTTAACTTTTTTAAGATTTCTTACCCCCTTTATCTTCGAACAAACCTCCAAATCTTGAAAATACTGAACCTAAATCTGGAAAGCTCATTCTGCTATCTTTTCCTTTAACCTATTGCTAAATCTCTGGTTCAAATACATTTTAGTTTTCGGAATTTAAGGCGCTTGTCCTTTGACTTCTGGATTATTACTCTGGTTTATATTATTATCTGGGCTACTTAACTAGGTTATTAGTATTTATTCCTTTTGGTAGCCTCAGTGCTTTTATCCTTATTTTTTCTTTATTGTGAGGAACTGCTATATCTTATGCAGGATCTATGTCCTACCAAACTGTCAGTCTCTTGCTTTAAGAGATCTAAAGAGACGTCTCAAATCTTAATACGTAATTGCTATTTGGATCTGCATATACTAAAGGAAAAGCCTCAATCACTTCTGATAATCTAACATCTGACACTGATGCATACTTTTTTGGTAAGATAAATATGTTTGGATACGGATTAGATTTCAAGTCAGTTTCATTCATGTCATTTTAGATGAAATACTCGCAGACTATTGGTTTTGCCATTTTTATGATTGTATATTTTCAAATTAATGATAATGCTTTTACAATTCTGTTATAATCTTAGATTGTCTATTGAGGGGTTTTGGGGTTTTGGGGTTTTGGGGTTTTGGGG